ATAGCATTGCAACCAGTAATGCATTTTGTGCACCAGCCTGACAAGTTAAAAAAAAACCCAAAGAAACAAACAAAACAAAAAAACCTCCCCCAAACCCACCCTCGTAGCCACAAACTGCAATTTTTCCTCATTGCTGTAGTTGCAAATATTGTGAAGCATTATGTGAAGTCTGAAGTCCTGTTAGCATGTTTGTACAACTGAAATGTTAAAGGGAGATTTGGGATGTGAGCCCAGATTCTGGAACTTTTTTATTACTATGCTCAAGAAAAATACATTTAAGGTAGTGAATGTAGTGAGGATATTGTGCTACAGGCCAAAGCTTCGTGGATTTTTGCCATGACATTTATGCAGTGCCATCTGAAGTGATACAAGACTGAAATACATAATGTTCCTCTCTAAAACGCAATCTTCAGCTCTCTGGCTGTGACCCAATATGCACCTCTTGGGCTTGCAGAAAGTTACAGGTCTGGCATTTTTCAAGACAGCTCCCTGACTCATTACTGCAAGGAAGAACCCACCTTTGCTTAATACCTCAGGAGAAGTAGTATCTTCAGAACTGATGTTTAGAAACATCAAGAAGGCTGTCCTTCGGGATTAAGGTGCCTCTTGCAGTGCTCAGCCATATGACTGCAGACCCCAGGCACTGATGGTGTTCAATGACGTCGCTAGAGTTAGTTCTCGTACAGATTGCATCCTGAAGCTAAGTAAGCTGCTTGTAAACATTTATCATAAATTATTACAGCAATTTGCGTGTGCGTGGTCTGAATGGTGTTAAAGCTTGCAGGCCTATTTTCACTGTAACTTCACTGATACCTGTATTTGTTATGTCGGTGCTGTGACTTAACCTGTTTGTGAATCCATCTCCCTGGGCAAAGCCCAAATACCTACGTTCATCTTGCCCCTGTCTTTTCCCTGTTCATACATGTGTACACAGACACTTGCTTATAGAACCTGAGAAGGTACAGATGTTCAAGCCTGCTTCAGGGCTTTCTGCACCACTGCCAAACATGTCCAGCCTGGGTCAGGGTTCATCCCCTCCACTAGGCATAGTACATTCAGGGAAGGACAGAGGGAACTTGGACTGTCAACAGCTTTGCACTGCAACTGCAGGAACTTGCATTACTGAGCAGTTTTATGCCAGTACTACTTCCAGCTTGGCTAAGTCTCCTGTTCACCCTCTTTGTACTCCATGAGAGACAGGAAGCAGCTAAGGAACTGGGAAATCTAGGACATGGTTTGCAAAAGGTACAGTAAGTGGTAAAATTGATTACTAATAAAAAGCTGTTTTGTCATCATACCCTCACAATGTGACCATGCCTTGTGATAGTACTGCCCTACTTCTTTAAAATAAGCATGGAAGAAAAGAAATCTAAGCTCTGTTGGAAAAGGGAACTCTTTAGTAGACACAACTTTGATGTGCTGGGTAAGGTATTTAATAATTATCTTAAAAACCTACCTGACCGGTACGCAGTGTACCCTGGCAGTGTTCTAAGCTCTTTTGGAAAAGGGAACTCTTTAGTGGACACAACTTTGTGCTGCATAAGGTATTTAATAATTATCTTAAAAACCTACCTGACCGGTACGCAGTGTACCCTGGCAGTGTTGATCCTTTCCTTCAGATTAGCTATACAGTCAGCAAATTTCAGGCTTTCTGCTGTGCAGGAGTTCTTGCATGACAAAGAAAGATTCAAGGGTACCTGTGAGCCTTGATTTTGGCCGCCTTTCTGATCTAGGCAAGTCCCTTGCTATTTTCAGGATTACAAGACGCTGTCATACACCCTTGCTGCAGGCTTTCTGCTTCATCCTTCTCTTAAGCTCTGAAACCTTCTCCCATGGTTTATCCCCATCATATAAAGATAGACTCTTTAAGGGTGGATAGACCCTTCCTTAACAGCACAGGGTTTTGCAGCAGAACCAGCATTAATGTACCTAAATAATCTTAAATGAGGCTTCTTGCCTTCACTTGCCATATCATACACTTTTAAGCTAAACACAAGGAGTAATATCCCCCAAACTGTTATGCCTCTCTTCCATGGAACTCTAACATTGTAGTTCAGAAAAAAATTAGCTCTGAGATTTGCCTCTGTATTCTTCACGTGCTAATTATTTGCACTTGCTTGTAGTAAAACTACATGTGTCGTTATGCGTAACCAAAGTGAGGGATTTTGTTGGCAGTTTGATATACTGTGGTATTGTGCTTCAGTTTAGAAATCTTACTGTTGGCCTTACACAAACCTACTGAGCTCAGTGGAAAGACTCACAGATGTTTACCAGAAGTTTGGATGAATTTAGAAGAATCCTCTTTGGAGCCAAGAATTGGCCTTGCACATTCTGAAAAGTGTGAAATTGATGCACATTCTGAAAAGTGTGAAATTGTTGCAGCTACGTTTTGACCTCCGATTTCAGATGTTAACATGTGTTTTCTTGTTACCATTTGAAGGTCAAATGGCCGGTGATCACACGCGACTGGAATTCCACAACATAGAAACGGGAATAATAACAGAACGGCGCTACCTGTCTTCTGTGCCTTCTAATTTCATTGGGCATCTACAGAGTCTTACATTTAACGGCATGGCGTACATTGACTTATGTAAAAATGGAGACATCGATTATTGCGAACTAAATGCAAGATTTGGATTCAGGACCATCATAGCAGACCCTGTAACCTTTAAAACAAAAGCAAGTTACGTCGCTTTGGCCACGCTGCAAGCATATACATCTATGCACCTTTTTTTCCAGTTCAAAACAACCTCTCTGGATGGATTGATACTTTATAACAGTGGAGATGGAAATGATTTCATTGTGGTTGAATTAGTAAAAGGGTACGTATGGATTAATGCAATGACAAGATAGTCTATTCAAAATGTATGTACAGGAGAAATGAAAGGGAAAGTTTAGGATACAAATCTTTGGACATACATGATAGAATGTTTCATGTTAAACTTCACGTGCTTTGTTGTGACTTTTTCTTTCAGATGAGGCTAGAAGCCTGAAAAATATGAAAGTAAATAATAGGTATAACTCCTATAGTGTTTACCACGAAGAAGCACTAGTTTATAGCCTTCCTCTTGTTCTCTCTCTACGTATGTATGTGTGTGTTGGTACATGGAGTGCTTGTTACTTTCCAGGAACTTGGGACTGCATCTCGCTCATCTAAAGGAATGGTGATCACTCTGAATTAAGGTTGCTTCCCCATTTGGCATTCATTGTTGTCTTCCAGTTTTACCAGCACTACTGGTAAAGGAGTATAAGGAAATGGGAAATATTAGCCAAATTATTTATTGCCCACTTGCTATGTAAAGAAAAAGGAAACTTTTCCAATTTTTTCTCTTTTCTCAGGTATTTACATTATGTGTTTGACTTGGGAAATGGTGCGAATCTCATCAAAGGAAGTTCTAATAAACCTCTGAATGACAACCAGTGGCATAATGTGATGATATCAAGGGATATCAACAATCTCCACACTGTAAAGATTGACACTAAAATCACAACACAGAGCACAGCAGGAGCCAGAAATTTAGATCTCAAAAGTAAGTAAATTCCTGGATAACCTACAATGAGGGTCTTTACAGAACGATAAGCTGAATAAATCACGTATGTGAAGTACAGTATCATTTTGTAATACTATATGAAATGTTTTATTTGATAATAATTAGTATGATCACAAGAAGTGACATCATGTTTGTTAACCTGACAATTATCAGTTTAGTAGTAGTTCTGCACAGGTAGGTACTACTTTAAATATGTGAAAATACCACAGGAAACAAAATAGCAAATGGTAAGAACACAGTGTGGTCCATATACACCAGAAGATATTTTGGGGAATAAAGGAGTTCTAAAGTGTCTATGAAAAAGGCTTGATTTTTACATGAACATAAGTTATATAAGTGACATGCAGGAACCACAGCCCAATTTTCACAGGATGACTGTACACAAAGCCACTGTGGCAGTCCTCCAATGAATCAGCTATAAACACAAGTTGCCAGAGGTACTGAACCATAAACTATACTCACCTAAATATGTAACATGTTGTATTTTCAGTTGCAGGGTGGGATAGTCTTTGTTTTATAGGTCTAAACATACATTTTATAGGTCTGGCCAGATTCTTAAGATATGTTTTTATCCAACATGCTGATAGATATGTAAATTTTAAAATAAGTAATATTATTAGTTATAAGGATAGGCTTCTGAAAAGCTAATTTGCATCAGAGGATCTTTTTGAAGGAATGTAGAGGTATACCTTTTAAATACTGTCTAGCTAGTCAGACAAAAGAAATTATGTTCTGGTCATGTGGAAAACTATCATGTGTTTTAACATTCTTTATATAAGCTCTTGTTAGGAAAACCAAAATTTCGTAACAGTCAAAGAAAATTTAATATTTCAAAAGTCAGGATGTTCAAAGTAGATATTAATATTCCATCAAGAGCTTATTCCTTGCTGGATTTCCTTTTAACTACCTTTGAGTCACAGATAATGAGCTGACCTTAGTAATTATTCTGGATTTTGTGATATTTTATATCTTTGCTTCACTTGAAAGTGCTATTAAGATTGTAAGAAAGACGAGAAAACTATATCTTGATATGTCATAATCTTCAATAAGAGCCTCTTTATCAGAAATGCTTGGTTTATAAATTAAAGCTTTTTGAATTACTCACGCTCCATTCCCCAAACTGTATTTGAGATTTGCGTGGTGTTCTTTCTCGTTTTTGCATCCTTGTAAATATGGTCAGTGTTTATTGAGGCAATACAATGTTTCAACGTTATTTTTGATGCTGTAGAGAAAGCATCCACCTTATTCTTTCACCTTTTTTTGCAACAATAAGTAATACATATGCATATGTGAATATATGCATAGGTATCTAATCTGAGCCTTTTTCCCCAATATACTAGACACGAGTAGGAAAAACAATCCTGTTAAAAATGCTAACTAAGTTAACACCATCTTATTATTGTACATCCTCTTCAAACTGAATTTAGTGTTTTGGTATGTTGCTTTATTTTAAGGCAAAAAGGTTTCCGCAACATGCTTAATAAAGACACTAGAGGGCACTGTTATCTCACTAAATGCACTCGTTCACAGAGAAAACTCATCAGCGAGGATAACCTATAAAATCCAACATTCCTTTGTTTTCTTCACTTTGAAAATTCTACTTTTGCTTTGCCCTTTTGAAGTAAAACTGTATCCATAGCTGGCTCATTTTCTAACCTTGAATTCCAGTGGAAAAAAACTGAAGAGCATGAAAAAACATACTGAGATTTGAAGCGAGGAAGGTGAATAGTATTAAAAGCTGATTTTCTGTCATTCACTGCACAGGAAATGTGTCTAGTAAAAGAATAACAAGCTTGACATATTCAGTACAGTAATACATAGTAACTGGTATAGTGTATGCAGGTTCTTAAATTGTCTTATCATGTATTCTATTATATTTTGCTCAGTCAACTTCCTTAAATATGCATAATCATGAAAATTTTTGTTGGATTTTTGGGGGAGTTCAAGCTGACACATTTTAGCCATCAGGCTCCAAAGGAGAAAAAAGTGCCTTTCATTATCATCTTTTCTTCCTTTGCATTCAGTTGAAATGCTTTCCTGTACTTCTTAAATTGTCTTATCATGTATTCTATTATATTTTGCTCAGTCAACTTCCTTAAATATGCATAATCATGAAAATTTTTGTTGGATTTTTGGGGGAGTTCAAGCTGACACATTTTAGCCATCAGGCTCCAAAGGAGAAAAAAGTGCCTTTCATTATCATCTTTTCTTCCTTTGCATTCAGTTGAAATGCTTTCCTGTACCTTGTTCTTCTCTGGTTTATGTCAGTGTTTCTTGTGGTGACACATTGCTGTTATGCTATAAATACACCGTACACTTTACTGATACAAGCAGCTATGGTTAATTCATTTTCCTATATTATTTTAGCCGTAGGAACAAAGCAAATTCAAAATTATGCTTCCTGCTAGTGATATCAATAATTCTGTTTAACCTGAATAAGCATTAGGTGAATTATAAATGTGTACAGATAATATGGAATCTGCAGTCTTCCTGAGTATTTGGAGAGTTACCAGATTTCAGATGCTGAAATTCAAGCTAATCCTGGAAAGACAAATCAATACATGCATTTTTTTGCAAATGCACAGTGAATTCAGTATGAAGATATGACACAGATTGTGTTGTAGAGCCTGCACAGGATGCCAGTTGTCTGGGAAAGCAGACAGTTGTCATGAAAGTACGAGAGAGAATTTCCACTAAGTTTCCTTTTGAGTGTAGGATTTGGCTATATAACCTAGAAAGTCCATTGTTACTGGCACTGGTTCGCTGTGTAACCTCTGGTGCAATTTCAGTGGATTGGAATGGGTACCTATGAAAACACTTGTATTAAATTCTCCAGTTTAATTTTTGCTCTAATTAGATGGGTAAATTATAAATTGGAGACAAATAAATGCATGAAAATAGTTCTGTGTTTGGATTCCAAGAACTGTGTTATTTTTCCTAGCAGGGAAAATTAGCAAAGTGTACCCGGGTGCAGTTCTAACAGATAACCCGTGAAGATAAATGAGTCTGAACAGCAAAGGCAGTGCAGCACTAGCCTGCCAACACTCACACAGCAAATTTGCTTTCATGTGTTCCATTGAGCAGATTGCCTGTCCCGCTTTCAGGATAGCTCAGATGGTTAGCATGGCTACAATTCAAGGCCTTCACGGACCGCAAGACTTGGGCGTAAGAGAATTCTTGCTTGCTGTACTTGATGCTGTGCTCTGATGGCTTTGAGGGGTCTGAGTAGCCTCGAAGGGACACAAAAATGCAAACGGAAGTGGAATTTGACTTGTGCTGTAGTTCCTCACCATTGAAAAAGAAAAGATGTCTCCTTGGGTCAGACTGTAGGTGTTTGTTTGTAATGCCTCTTCCCTCTCCACATCTTCCTGAAGTGTGGGAAATTGGAGGTTTTTTACAATGTGTTTTCTTTAATAAATATTTGAAGACACATGACCTGCTTTCAAGGAGGAGGAACATCCTCAAACATGACTTTGTATTCACCTACCTATTAGGGTTTAATTGTCCTTTTTTCTTCTTTCCTACACATATAGGCTGTTTTTTAATCCCCAAAGTTTTCACCTACTTTCTTTAAACAGCAACCATAGAAAAACCTACAAGAATGCACTCAAAATGAGTGTCAGAAAATGAAAACATTTTACCACTTTGTTTATAAATTGAGATGAAAAGTTGAATTAGTACACTCTCACAAAACAAAAAGCTAAGGAATGCTGCTGTTCTTTTAGATTTAGCAATAGATAGTTGCAGACTTCTCTAGGAGTTGGTAGCTTCAGTACTTCAGTATCCCATCCTGTTCTGAACTTTCTAGCTGTGATATTCTCCAGCATGAACTGCAGTCATCCTAATTTTGTTATTGGGCTAACTTTATTTTCTTCTTAAAAGTAAATCACAATCACAAAAAAGTCCTACCCAACTCAACATTTATGATTTGATTTGGGTTTTGTTTTTCTTTTTTTGGCTGTGCAGCATTTCATACATCTTTAAGACTTGGTTTTTTTGAACTGACATCCATACTTTCAACTTGTCTCACTCTGTTATTCTCTTTCCACATGACCTTCCCAAATGTCAATTTTAGAGTCCACTGTAAGTCATATGTTGTTCCTGTGCTGTTATATCACTGCATCTTCAAAACATGCAGTTCATATTTGTGCATACACCAGAATCAACTTCCTTTGATTTAAAAAATCCTGTCTGTATCTCTTGTCTGTTTCCTTTCTGTTGCTCTTCACTGGCCTCTGGCTTCCTCTATCCCTTTGTCAGATATGGGTACTGTTGCGATATACATTTGCCTTTTCATTTGATGTTTTCTCCAATAACGTGAAAACAGCCTAGTCTGGAGCATCTGAAAGAAAACTCATCATTAATTTCTGGTATCACCTCAGCGGTTTTGCAAACGTACTTTAAATGTACTTCTTCCATGTACATAAAGACTCACTTGGCAATTAATTCATCCTTGTAAACTTTTAAGGAAATTAACCAAATTATCAGTAGATCTACTGGCCTGGCATATTCATTGATGATTTGTAATACTCACTTCATCTATTGATATTTCATTGGCCTGTCAAAGTAGGATATTCATGCTATGCAAAACTGAGCTAAATTAGTCTTGATCATAAAGAAGATTTCTTGTTCCAGCAGTGGAAATTGAAATCATTTCAATTTCATATATTGTCCCCTGTTGTTTTATATTGAGCCCATTATTATTGTTGCTGCATTATAAGTTCTTCCCTATATTACATGGTCTCTATCAATGGCAGTAGTCCGTCATCTTTCTATTGCTAAGAAACAAAGCTTTAAGAAGCACAGAAAAATATTTTATATAAACCCATAGATTTCCACAAATTAAAAAGTATTAATTCTTAAATTTCTCAAACAAACATGCACGAGGTAATTGTAATGACCTTGCAGTGGGCTTTGAATTCATACAGAAATAATGTTCTGTTTCAAATGCAGAGTTCCAAATACTATCAACAGTAAAT